ATATTATTAAAAAAAATTTTATTTAAATATTTTAAAAATTAAAAAATATAGATCATAAGTATATTTATGATAATTTTCTAGGCAAATTTGCCTGGAAAAACTTACAGTTTAAGGGATAAGTATATAAAAGATATAAAAGACTTATCTTTTTCAGTCAAATAAAGATTAACTTTTATAAAGATTAAAAATTTGTAAAGTTCAAACATCTTTAAAATAAGAGTAGAAGTGTTTGTATTTAACTCATTGTATCTTTTTATATAAAATTATTTGCCAATACTATTATACATATATTATATTGCATATTTAATAAAAAAAATCTTATTAGTAATACAACCCTTATTTAAATTAATTCTGATTAAGTTTGTAATCAACATCATTATATCTAATTAATAATTCTGTAATACTATAATCTTGTATTATATTCTGAGACCTAGCTATAGTCCATATCTACAAAAAGAAAAAATTATAATATTAAAAAAGTAAAGTATTTGAAAACACTTATCTAAAACTAACACTATCTTTATAATTTAATTAAAACTAGATACTCAAACCAAATCTTTTCACACCTTGATTGTTATCTTATTAATCTTAAGATTTAGTTAAAGTAGTTTTAGTATTCTAGTTAGTTAGTATTTAAATAGTAAATAGAGTCACAAATATTACAAATTATTTATTATATACTATATTAGAGTTGTCAATATACTATGTAAATTAAATATATGTATAGTTCTATATAAAATCAAATAGATAATTATATAATAAGCATATTTATATATAGTGTTAATTAAAATTGTTATTAATTTTATTGCAAAAAATTACTGTTACAGTTATAGGACCAAGCCACCCAAGCTTGCCTATGACCCAAGTCCCAATTCAAGCCTGTGATTCAAGCCCAACTCAAACTCGTGACTCAAGCCTGACTCAAGCCCGTGACTTAAGCCCAATCTATATCTGTAACTCAAACCCGTGACTCAAGCCAGTGTTGGAAATTTATAAGACAGTATAATGATTTTTGTAAACATATTTTGTTTTTTATCATGTTTATATTAAAAAAAATAATGTTCATAAATAAAATTTTATTAATTAAATAGAAATTATTTATATTCACAAATTTGAATATAAAATAAAAAAATTTTGATTTTTTTAAAAAATTTATACTCTTGTGAACACTGTGAATATATGATTTCCAACATTGACTCAAGCTCATAACCAAAGCCTGAAGCTTAGATCCGATATAAATCCAAGATTTATGTGCATTAGAAATGAAGTCATCTAACTAGTAATCAATAGTAATTAATAAATCTGTGCATTAAAAATATAATCATAGCCTCATAGTACCTAAATAATCATACAATAGTGATTCGTAATTAGTAAAAAAAGGGGAAAATTGCAATAAAAAGGAAGGAAAAATATACTTAGCTCTTTAGTCTGTTCAATAAATATTCAATTGTATCTTGTTTAAAATCTAACTGATCTTTGTACTGTGATAGTTTAAACAGACTAAACAACTTTTAGACCTATAGACACTGTAGATCTTATATTTTTAAACATAACATAATACTCAATTAAATCTGTATAAGATATTTACTCATAGTAATTAAATCTAAAAAAAAAAAAAAAGTTAGTCAAATAGTCAATATCATATATACACTTATAAAAGTAGTATTAACAAAATAGAAGACTAACCAGACATTAACAGTATCCTTATTGTGTTACAACAAATCCAACAAGAAAACCAACTTTTAAAGCAAGAAAATGTAAATTTTCGCAACAAGCTCAACCAACTTTGGTTACAAAAAAAGATCCATAACTACTAAAAAGAACCTAAAGTTAGCTTGCCTAACAAATTTTATAGAAACTGCTCCAAATTTAGAGGGTTCCTAAACCAAATACAGCTCATTTTTCGTCTACAGCCTAGCTGTTATTCTGATGACAGGACTTGGGTGGGTTTGCTTAGTAGCCTGCTAACAAGACTAGCATTGGCATGGTTTACTCTATTTCTTAAAAAAGAATCATCCATACTAGATGACTTTGATGACTTCATTGGAGAGGTCAAAGCAATCTTTGGGGACTCAAATAAGATCAGAACGGTAGCTAATAGAATCAAAAAACTCACCCTAGAATCCAAATTGGCATCGAGCTATGCTTCAGAGTTTTGTCAAATCTCCAGTGACCTGAATTGAGGTGAAGCTGCGTTAATCGACCAATTCTGAACAGAGCTTAGGAATAATGTAAAAAACCTGTTACTCACTATGGAGGACCCTACTTTACTGAATAACATCATCTTGAAGGCCATATAATGTGATAATAAATTGTTTGAACACGTTGTGAATGACAAGGTTATGTGCTCAATTGGTATGACTCAGTATCCAGTTATAGTAGGTTCAGTTTATTCCTGAAGCCAATGCAAATTGACTCAACTAGGGCAAGAACACTATCAGAGGAAGAAAAGCAAAGATGACAGGCCAATAATCTCTGTTTATACTGTGGTAAAGCTGGTCACATGGCTAAGAATTGTCCAAGAAAAAGTAACGTCAAGTATAGAATTGATGCTGTAGAAACAATTTTGGATGTTTCAAGAAAAGAGGAGCCCTAATTGCAGTAAGGAGGCTGCAGTTGGACGTTACTTGCAACTCAGGCCCCAAATAACCAACCCCATACACTACAATAGACACTTTCATTATACCTGTTTTCATTCAACTCCCAAACAAATCTAAATTATCGGTTAATGCATTAATAGATTTTGGTTTTTCAGCTTGCTTTCTTGATCATACATTGGTACACAAATACAACTTACCTATCAGCAAAAAGAATATACTACTGACAGTAGAAGTAATAGATAGTCAGGAAATATTTTCAGATGCGATTAGCCACAAGACCAGGCCATTGTTGCTGTGCTATCAGGACCATTGTGAAGAAATTACATTTAACCTAATTCAAACACTATATCATCAAGCCATTCTGGGTTTATCATAGTTGACTTACCACAACCCCAATATTAATTAGTCTAAGGGTCATTAAAATTTTCAGAAGTAAGTTGTAGCTCACATTTTCAGTATCTATCCAAAGCATAGTTCACGACCTATACTAGTACCCTGAGAGAATTTTTTTAGCTCAGATTATCTATATAGCCTCAGTAAAAGGAGATCCTGGCACCTTTATCCTGACCCTACCAATAAAATATAGTGACTTTAGTGATGTCTTTGATGAAAAGAAGGCAAATAAGTTATCAGAGCACAGGTTTTATAACTATGCAGTAGACTTGAAACTTGGGAAGCAGCCACCATGGAGATCTATATATGAGCTATCAGAATTAGAGCTGAAAACATTAAAAAAATATATAGAAGAAAACCTGGACAATAGATATATTAGACACTTTAAGTCACCTACTAGGGCCCCTATATTGTTTATTAAAAAAAAGAACAGGTCATTTAGACTATGCATAGACTATCGTGGGTTAAATCAAGTTATCATTAAAAATAAATACACATTTCCTCTTATCTCAGAGCTACTGCATCATTTATCTTTGGCCCAAATCTTTACAAAAATAGATTTAAGAGGTGCCTACAATCTAGTTAGGATCAAACCAGGTGATGAATAAAAAATCACATTTTGTACCCGTTACAGTCTTTTCGAATATTTGGTAATGCCCTTTGGGTTTACGAACACCTCAGCTGTCTTCTAACATCTGATAAATAACATGTTAAGAGATTTTTTTAGATAGGTTTATTATTGTATATTTAGACGATATTCTGGTATACTCTGCAACCTCTGAAGAACATACCATACATATAAAACTAGTATTGGAGGGCTTCACTATTTTGGCTTGTATACAAAGCTGGAGAAGTGTGAGTTTGATAGAGACTGTATCAAGTTTTTAGAGTATGTTATTATGTTCACAGAGGTGGGAATAAATAAAAAAAAGGTCAATAATTTGCTTTTGTGGTCCACACTCACAACTTTTAGAAAAGTACAGCAGTTTTTGGGGTTTGCTAATTACTATTGTCATTTTATAAAAAATTACTCACAAATGATTACCCTCTTACAAACCTGACTCAAAAGTTAAATAAGGTTTTCAAATAGATTACAGAAGAACAAGTGACTTTTAAGAAGCTAAAGAGGGCCTTTACTTCTACTCCAATCTTTGTGTACGCAAACAGTTTTTCTAGAAACTGATGCTTTAGATTAAGCTCTTGGGGCTTTACTCTTTCAACCCCAAGATGACAGCTAACTTCATCCAGTTGCTTATTACTCTTGGAAGTTTACATCTGCAGAATTAAACTATGACGTCCATGACAAGGAGCTTTTGGCTATCATAACTGCACTCAAACAGTAGTATCATTATCTAGAGAGGCCTAACACAAAATTATCATATATTGCGACCATAAAACCTCTAATACTTTACCTCTACTTGGCTCTTAAACTGTCGTCAAGCCTACTGATCACTATATCTGTCCAACTATGTGTTTGAAATTTTATTTCATCTAGGGAAGAATCAAGGCAAAACAGAAATATTGTTACACTGGCCTGATTATAAACTTTCTAGAGATGAACTCACCTCTTACCAAACAGTACTATTGAAACAAGAAAGAATTCACTTAAATGCCGTTTCAACAGCACCTTTTGATTATACCCTTTAGCAACATATTAGACTTAATTAAGAGCTGACCCTCTAGCCTTAGACATCATAAGCCACTTAAACACTACCAATATAACCCTTAGCAGCCCTCAGTCTGATTACTATAAATTTTTTATAAGGATGGTTTGCTTTACAGGGATGGGCTATTATACATTCCTGAAATGGTAGAGAAGTTTAAGGTATTATAGACTCGATATGATTCCAAGTTAACCAAACATTTTGGAGCAGCTAAAACTGTCAAGTTAGTGACCAGTACTATTGGTGGCCAAATCTACAGTTGTTTGTATATAAATACATCAGAATCTGTGATTCTGCGTGAGATCAAAAACACCAAGACACCACCCTCATGAATTATTGATGCCCTTGCCAATTCCTTCATTCCAATGGCAATCTATATCTATAGACTTTATAACTGACTTATCGACTTCTTTTTGGTTTTGACTCTATTCAAGTGGTGGTAGATCGACTTACAAAAATGTGCCATTTTATTGCTTGTTATAAAAATATTACTGCAAAACAAACAGCTCAGCTAGTGCTTTATGAGGTCATCTGTCTACATGGTATATCTGAAGAGATTGTCTTCAATAGAGGACTACAATTCACCTTCCATTCTGGAAACACCTTTTTGAACTTCTGGGAACAAAAATTAATTTGTCATCAGCATACTATCTACAGTCAGATGGGAAGAGAGAGAGGGTCAATCAAGTGCTGAAGCAATATCTAAGATGTATTATAAACTACTACCAGGATGATTGGGTTGACCTTCTGCCCTTAGCTAAATTTTAATACAATAATTCTGTACATTTATCAACAAAAACCACCTTGTTCTTTGCTAATTACAGGTTCTGCTTATGTTTTGATGTTCAAGTATCCTTATGACCAACTGCACCATCTGCTAAAGACAAGGCAACCCAGCTACAACTAATTAGGGAAGAACTTATACAAGAATTGAAGGCTGCACAAAGTGTTACAAACAAAATGTGATTGTTTGCAACAAGAGCCACCTATATTCAAGATTGGCAACTAAGTTTGGTTAATAAGAAGAAACATTCGCACACAGCGTTCATCAAAAAAGTTAAACCATCAGAAACTAGAGCCTTATAAGATCAAATCCCAAATCAATCCTATTGCTTATCACTTAAACCTACCCCTGCTCTCAAAATCCATGATGTATTTCACGGATCTCTTCTGTAACCTTACATATCAAATGACATCTCTAGTAGGCAGAAGAAACCACCCCTCTAGTAATAATAGATGGTGAAATGGAATATGAAGTTGAAAAAAATACTTGACTCAAAATTAATTCAAAAAAGGCTATATTACCTAATTGAATAGAAAGATTGTGATCTAAGCAAACATTTGTGAGATTGTGAGAACCCGCTGAGAATGTTGCACATGCCCAAGAAGTAGTAAAAAGCTTCTACCAGCTATATCTACACAAGCCTAGGCCGAAAACAACATGGAGAATATCAAAAGAGAATAAAGGTAAGCGAAGCACTAAGGAGGGATGATGTTACAGTTACATGGCCAAGCTACTCAAACCTGCAAGCCTGTAACCCACATCCCTATTCAAGCCTGTAACTTAAGCCTAACTCAAATCTGTGACTCAAGCCTGACTCAAGTCTGTAACTCAAACCTGATTCAAGCCCGTGACTCAAGCCCAACTCAAGCCTGTAACTCAAGCCCATGACCAAAGCCCAAAGCTCAAACTCAATACGAATTCAAGATTTATACGCATAAGAAATGAAATTATCTAACTAGTAATCAATAGTAATTAATAAAGCTGTGCATTAAAAAATGTAATCATAATCTTGTAGTACCTAAATAATCATATGATAGTGATTAATAATTAGTAAAAAAGGTGAAAATTGCAATAAAAAGGAAGGGAAAATATACTTAGCTCTTTAGTCTGTTAAATAAATATTCTATTGTATCTTGCTTAAAACCTAACCGATCTTTGTACCGTGACAATTACTATAAAATAATGCTTTGAACTAAATAAAATTTTAAATAATAAAAGTTTATACAAGCCAAGCTTTATTAAATAATTATATTAATGATTCATTGAGAAGAAAATGCTTATCCAAATTGGCTTAATATCTGTCAAGGTAATATTACCTTTTTATATATAGTTGTAGTGATATTATACAATTGTATCAATAGGAGGAAAAATGCTAGAGTAATAAAATAGTATAAAAGTTTCTTAAATTCTTAAATAATATAAATTAAGCTAGTTTAAGCTAGCTTTTTAGGCTAATCTAAGTTAAGTAAGCTATTTTATTCAAAGTTTAAATATTTTTTTTTCAATTCGGCTAATCTGCACTTGTTTATTTGAGACCAAATTATTTAAAATTATAAGATTTATCTCTAACTATAATAGATCTAACCAAACGAAAGACTCACCCATGTGATTTTATACACCAGTCATAATCTATCTAAGTAGCTCTTGGCCTCCCTTAGGGTTCTTAACTCACTAAATACTTTTTTTCTGTTATTTATTGGCTGGCAGTTACCCACTGCATCAAGAAGCAAAATAAGAAAAAACATAAAATAGACTAAAAAAACACAGAGGTATAAGGAATATGATAAAAATATACAAATACGAAAAAAAAGGTATAAAGAAATATTGAAAAAAAAACAAAAAGCAATTTTACCTATTCTAATACTACTATTATAAGCCTGTGGGTAGCTTGAAAAATTACATACTGACTAGATAAATTAGTCTCTTAGTCTCTACTTCTATTTTTCTCTAAACTAGTATGCAAAAGTAAAAATCTAATAGGAAAAACTTCATCAACTGACTTAAGGTAGAGAGGTTAGAATAGAGTCTTGGAGTATTGTTTATACAGATATCCATTGCATTTGAGGCACATGTATACATATGTTTGTTGTCACATTTTGATTTGAAAGATAAACAATGCTGACTTGTTTGGTATTCATGATATCAATCATTAGGAGAGTGTAAGCTAAAATGCTCACTTTTTATAAAAATTTCCTCGAAAAAAGTGGTGGGTCAATGAGAGTATGTGAGGTTCTTTTTGTAAGTTTTACAATTGTATAGTCCAGCTTCTCTATTTCTACCAACTTAGAAGTACATATTGGCTACTTCTACAGACTTGTTTCTAGAATAACCTTTCTGATTTGGATGCTGAATATCTTGAGGAGTCTGTCAAAAAAGAAAAAACTTGACCCAAAGAAAACTATCTGTTTTTTTATGCTTGCTCCTTGGTGTTTCACGTCTAGATGCTTAGGCTTCATTGACTACAAGCTACTTCTACTTATAGGACCAAGTTTAGTGTCTACTTTGTTGCCTTCCTATATGTTTTGCTGTAGTTAGATTTTTGTTGTTGTTAACCAGAAGAACATCAGAAAGAGTTGTGTAAAATTATGTATATATCTGCAAAGTTTAAATATTTTAATTTGTTATTTTAAATATTTATATATATACAGTATATATACAAAAATTGTATTAAATTTTAAATATTATATAATACAAATCAAGCTGGCTTAAGCTAGCTTGAGCTGGCTTTTTAATTCAAGCCAAGCCAAGCCAGCCATTTCTATCCCTATGCTTAATAAGTTTAGTATCTGGGGTGAGTTAATAGAAACGCACCAAATTTTTTCTAAGTAAATTTTTTTAAATCTTTGATCAAAAATAATTCTGCAATAACTTAAGCAAATTTAATAAATTTTTTTTTTAAATTAATTCTAAAAACTTGTAGAATTTATTTTTAAAACTTTGTATTAAATTTAATTAAGCTTTTGTTGGGTTATTTTGCTCAAAGATTCAAAAAAATTTTATTAAAAAAGATTTAGTGCATTTCTATTGACTCACCCCCATCTTGAGTTTTGATTTCATTCCAGTTCTTTGAGTTTATTTGCAAACAACTTCTTATTATTTTTAAATAACTCCTTTATACTTTCTTTATAGTTTTCTTCAACACTTCCATCTTCAATGATCTTATTTAATTGCTCTTCTATAGTCAGTTTTTTTTAATAGAGGTCTTTTTTTGGTTAGAATTTCTTTTATTAATGCTAAACATACAGCTAGGCTTTCAATTTCATCAATTTTTTTATCTCTTTCTATTTTTTTATCGGATAGAGCACAATTAGATGAAAAACTTTCAAGTTCTTCCAACTATTCGCTTTTATACTCAATTTCATTGAACAATTTATCAGTGTCATCTTCATTGTGATCACCTGATTCAACTTTTTCTGCTTTTTGTTTTCTTTGTCAGTATATATGATAGATACTTTAAACCTTCTTCCTAAGTACATGATTACTAATTTTTGCTTGTCAAAGTTTAATATGGCCTTTGCCTTTTAGAACCAATCAGTTCTTAGCAACAATGTTTCATCAACTGATTTCAAAATATATAGCATAGTAGATATTTTTATATTTGCAATATCAATTATTACTTTTGATATTTTCCTAAAGTTCAATCTCTTGCTCCTGTTGCTGTTATAACCATAGTTTTAATTCTTCATTAATTATAAGCCTTAATTGCTCAACCAACTTTTTTATTATAATATTAACAGCTGTATCTATATTCAATATGGCAACTACAAGATTATTACTAATTTGTATATAATATTTCACAGCTGTAGTTTATTAAGTTAATTGAGGTTTACAAGATTTGCTTCTTTAGAATTAGGATGCCTTCTCATAATCTTAGCTAAGTTTCTATGTTGATTTGAATATTGTAGCAGTTAATCTATTGTGGCATTTGCTCTTATTGTTAGAATATCATTGGCTACATTGTATAGTTCAACTTTATTTATAAATAAAAATCACCTTTTTTATTAAAAATTGTCTAAGATTTTTGAACTAGAAGGAATTACTTGAATATTATTTTGTAGAGTTATTACTTCATTGTTATTTATTTGGGTGGGGAGACTATCCTTTTTCTTTTTTGTTTCTAATTTTTCACATTATTTACCAAGTTTTTGGGTGATCAACCTCTTCTTTTTTCAGTATGTAGTTGATCCACATTATACAATTCTTTTTATATTTCATTATTGTAGATTTCTTTATTTGTATTGCAAAAATTTACTTTTTGGGGCTGATTATTTTTGTTGTAATGCTTATTTTTTTGAGTTTGGTTATTTTTAGTAAAGGCAAAATCATATAATGTGGCCTTTCTGTTTGTTTTTTTTCAAACAATATTAGAGTTTTGTAGATGCTGATTCATTTAATTCATTTGATTTACTTGATTTTTTGATTAATTTGATTTATTAAATTTGTAAATTTGCTTGATTATACTGAGTATTCTTTCTTTGACACTAATTTTTTGATTGTATGATCGAGTTTATCATATTTGCATAATTAATTGATATTACATTCATTTTTTTCACTAGTTTCTTAATTTCACTTTTAACTCTTAGAGGTGCTTGTTGTACTGTTTAACTATAATATTTATTGGCTTCAGCCTTTTTTGCACAAGAAATTGCATTATTCAAGGTTGTTAGGCAATTATTTTCTATTTAATCCTCTAAGAAACATATATACAACATATAGGGCATAAAGTTTTTCACTGTTTTTGACCCTTCTTAAAAGCTATTTGAACTTTGTAGCATAAGAGTTGATTTTTTTATCTAGTTTTGTATAATAGTATTTAATTTTATCTGCTAAAGGTGATGTTAGTCAAGTGTTGTATAAAATATAGAGAGTATATAGTAAAGCTTT